ACAGCACTTTCAGGTTAGCTGTAGTGCCTTCTGTGTTATTTGATCCTCTGGGAAGTAGGTGCTATTATTATCCCAGTTTTACAGATAAAGAAACTGAGGCAGCAAGACATTAAGTGACTTTCCTAGGGTCACAGTGATAGGAAATGTCTGAGGCTGGATTTACACTCAGATATTCCTGAATCCTGGTTCAACACTTTATGTACTGCACCACCTAAGTGTTAATCAATAATTAAAAGATGTTTTACAAAACAGAAAAGAAAGCAAAAGCAAAACAATTACAACAAAACTTGAATTCAGTCAGATATTGGATAGTGAGGCCTTGAAGGAATAAAAAAGAGAGAATGAATTTAAATATTTCACAGGTATATCCAAAATTGTTGTCTCCTGGGTTTCCTCATGTAAAACAGTAAGAGAAAAGTAAATGTTCCTATTCTGGTTTCCAGTGGCTCATGATTTAGGAAAGGGCCATCTTTCTTGGAGATCAATATTGGAACCTAGATAAATCACACCCCCCACTTAGAAGAGATTGTGAGGGAGCCTGATAAGACAGGACTGTATTGCTGCTGTTACTGTTTTTATCTTTCTGTCCTTTCCCCTTTTGACAAATAAAAAATAATTTTTCCATTGAAAAGAAATAGTTTTCCTAAGGAGATAGCAAACCAGGAATAGAATTTTAGACCACTAATAGGCTTATGTCAAGCACTGTGAAAATGGGTAGCCCAACTTAAGCTATACGGTGTTTCCTGTAGCCTCCCACCTTTATAAGAGGGGGAAGGTGGCTTAAAATCTTGTTTTAAGACTTTGTGATATGGTAGTTTGAAGGTATGGTTCTAAATTCAATTTACTATGATACCTAGTTTTAATAGCCATCATTCCTGAAAAAGATAACTCACAAAGACACATAGACTCAAATTAAAAAAATGCATTGTCTTGGCTTACTAAGGCATAATACTCATTTTTAGATCCCATCTACCAACCTCAAAAAGTTTTTGCTAAAATTTGTCTGGTAAATTTCCATCTTTTCCATTATGTGTGGGTGCTCTGTCCTTTCTCCTTTGTTCAGGCACGGGAAACATACTTTATTATTTATTAGTATTGATTGAACCTAGTTTTATGTGGCTAGAAAATTGTCTAACCCAAAGCTTACACAGTAGAGAGCAGGGTGATGTTGGAGATCCTCCGGGGAAGTCAGATGGCTTCAAGGAGTTCTTAGGTCCTATTCAGGTCTGTTTTTGGGGTTCCCTCAAAGCTTCTGTTTTGGATTCCCCAAATTTGAATGTTTATATTTCCCTGCATTATATTGTTTTCTTCACTCTGTTCACTTCACTACTTCACATATGTTTCCAAATTTCTCTGTATTCATCACCTTCATCATGTACCCTGTTATTCCCTAATCTATGGGCATCTATTTTGTTTCCATTTTTTTTTACTATCACAAAAAGTTCTGGTATAAATATTTTGATGTATATGGAGACTTTCTTATCAATAGCTTCCTTGGGGAATAAGCCCAGTAATGGAATCCAAGGATAAGGGCATTTTAGTCACATTATTAGCATAATTCCAAATTGCTTCCCAAAATCATTGTACCAATTCACAGCTCCACTAACAATGTACTTGTGTACAATCCCTTCTCACAACTCCTCCAACACTGACTATTCATATATTTTGTCATCTTTGACAATTTGCTGAGTTGAGGTGAAACCTCTGATTTGTTTTGATTTGTATTTCTCTCAATTTTAGTGATTTAGAGCATTATTTCATGTGGTTGATTATTTGCAAATCTTCTTTTAAAAACTTTTTGTTCATATCCTTTGACCACTTGTCTATTGGGGAAAGGTTTTTGGTCATACATACATATTTACATATATGTGTATATACATACACATATACATATCTATGTGTATGTGTTAATTATTTCTATATTTTAGATACCAAACCTTATCAGAGAAATTTGACATAAAGATTTTTTTCCTATTGGCCACTTCCTTCGTGAGCATTAATTTTATCTGTGCAGAAACTTTTCAGTTTCGTGTATTCAAAGTTATCTATTTTATCTTTTGTATTTGCCTCTTTCCATTGTTGAGTTAAAACTCCATCTCCTACCCATATATGTGAGAGGTATATGCTCAATTTCTTTTCTCTTTTTTTAAAATAGTATTATCTTTAATATTAAGGTTATGTGTCCATTTAGAATGTATTGTGGAATATTGTATACCTTCTTGGTTTAATCCTAATTCCTGCCAGGCTCCTTTCCAGTTTTCCCAGCAGTTTTTGTCAAATAGGAATAAAAAGGTTTGGTTTTTTTTAAAGTTCTTTCCTAAGTAATTTACATTTTCTATTTTATCAAACACTGGGTTATTGAGTTCCACTGTTTCTGATTCTTTCTTATCTAGTCTGTTCCACTGATGTACTTCTCTATTTTTGGGGTTTTTTTTGTTTTTTTGGCTAGGCCATGGGGTTAAGTGACTTGCCCAGGGTCACACAGCTAGTAAGTGTTATGTGTCTGAGGCTGGATTTGAACTCAGGTCCTTCTGAATTCAGGGCCGGTGCTGCGCCCTAGCTGCCCCTGTACTTCTCTATTTTTAAATCAATACAGTTGGTTTTAATGACTGCTGCTTTTTAAGGTGTGAAAGTGCTATTCCTCCTTCACCCCTACTGCTTTTCATCATTTCCATTGAAATTCTGGATCTCTTGGTTTTCCAAATGAATTTTATCAAGTTCTTTATCCTTTTGATAATCTTGTTGGTATAGCATTAGTAATATAAGTTAATCTTGTCAGTAATAACATTTTTATTATATTGGTGTGGTCCAGATGATAGCACTAAATATTCTTCTAGGTATTTGAGTTATGTCTTGTAGCTCAATTAATTCATTTGCTAAGGCAATTGGAGCATGTAAGATTTGCAGTCTGTGGTTCCTTTTAGCATAATGTAGCTTATTGTTAATCCCCTTTTATATTTTGAATGTTTTTCTTTGTGTAATAGCATGATAGCAACTTCTGCTTTTTTGGATTCACTTGTATAGTAATTTGTATAGCAATTTTTTTCTAGTCCCTCATTTTTATTTCTTATATATTGTTATTTTTTAAATGTGTTTTGCATAAACAACAGATTGTGGGGTTTTGTTTTCTTATCCAATCTGTCAGTCTTTTTCATTTTGTTGGAGTATTCAACCCATTCACATTTAAAGTTTCATGTAAGTATTTATATTTTCCTCCATTTGTTTCTAATATTTTTTACCCTTAAATTAGGACATTCCCCTCTGTTATATAAACATAGTGCCATGTCTTTTTTGAAATTTAAGCTTAATATATCCTAAGGCAGTTCTTTTTCCCACTGGCTCTCTTTTCTTCACCCTCTAGGCCTCCCTCCCATTTGTTACTCCTTTCCTTAGTTTTTGAGTTTTGTTTGAATTCCTTTATGTTTCTTGCTTTTATCTAGTTATTCAATCTTTCCCCCTCCCCACAACTTTCATCCCTTGTAACTTGCTTTGTTCATTGCTTTAAAAAATTTTTACTTTCTATACCTTTTTCTAGAAAAGTTTTATTTCCCTCGTTTTCTTCTTTACTTATATTCTTTTTGTCTTTCGAGATATTTATCTTTGATTCAGAGACTTCTACATATTTAGTCCTTTATTTTCTGTATTCTTCATGGAATTAAACTTTTGAGGTACGTATTTTAGGTTCTCCTTCAAAACAACTTCTGTTATTGTCTTAAAGATATTTCCTCTTGACCCTCTTTTTTTCTGTTATGTTTCACGATTAGGACAACCAGTTCCTGCAGATTATAGAGAAGATATTGTCCCATGGCAGGATCTTCCTATATCCCTGATTGTGTAATTTATTATTGACCTTTTTCCCTACCCTTGTTCATTTTTTTCCCTTGACTTGTTTGCATCAAAATCTCCTCCCTGGATCCATACCCTCTTACTCCTCTGGGTGTCACTTACCTCTAGGAACTCTGATTCCCTTTTTTCTGGAAGTAGGATGAGTGGTCTAAATACCTAATCCCAGCAGATCATACCCATTGTAAGAATCTCTCTGAATTCATCAGTGGTACCCACTTCCTTCACTGAAACAAGATTTTTCCCCCTTCCCCCCACTTTTCCATCCCTCCCTTTGCCTCCTCACTTATTCTCTTATGGACTTTCCTTCCTTAGAGACTGCAGGAGTTATTTTCCTTCATTGTTAGCCTGAGATTTGATTAGGGTATGTTAACCATTTCCCTCTACAGTTTTTTTCCTCTCTCCTTTTATATGTCTTCCCTTTCTGAAATTTAGTCCCACAAAAAGGGGGAAAAATGATATGTATTATCAGAGTATTGTAAGTTTTAGTCCATGATGTTTCAGGCATCTTTCTCCACCATCATTTGCATTTTACTTCTGCTTTCACACTTGTCTCCTCGTGTACATTTAGACAGAAACCTCTTAATGGTCACTCTTTTGTTATTTTGTCATTGTCCTTGTTTGCTATATTCACTTATTATTCTAGTATCTCTGCTGTCTGGAGGTATTTGAGAAGCAAATAATTTCTTGAGGTCTAATTTTCTTTCTAAAAATATTTTGAATGCCCCCTTTTGTTGACTATGCATCTTTTTTTCATTTATGATTAAGCTCAGATTTGCAAGCTAAGTCACCTTGCTCTGCAACTTGAACTCCTTAGCTCTTCAGAATACATTATTCTGTTCCCTGCTATTTTCTGGTTACAGAAGAGTCTTGTGTCATTAGAATTTCTTTTTCTTTCTATTTGAAGGACTTTTTCCTGGTCACTTGCAGAATTTGTTGTCAGTGGAATTGTTAAATTTAATCACTAGATGGCATAATTTTCAGCATAAAGCTTTTTTCTTGAGCTGATTGGTGGATTCTTTCAACTGACACTTTGTTTTCTGTCTTCAGAAGTTCTGGGCAGTTTTCTTGTATTATTTCCAACATTATGGCATTCAGGCCTTTTGACTTGTCATCTTCTTGGGAGACCTATAATCCTAGGTTGTTTTACATAGTTTGTCTTCAAGATCAATATGCTTTGCTTGTAAGTAGATCATGCTTTCCTTTAACACGATTGCTCTTCATTTTTATTCTTCCAGATTGTACTTTACTTCCATGTATTTGCATTCCAAATTAGTTATCCTTTCTTCTGTTTCTTTGGTGAGACTTGCCACTACTTACTCAAGTTTTTCTAGTCTGCCAATTATTTCTACTATGCATACCATTAATTTTGCTGTTATAATTATTATTTCTCTTTTAAACCATTCAGGAACAGCATGCTGTGGTTCCATGCTTTCTTGGAAATACACAGAAGCATTTGCCTTATCAGGTATTGATTAATTTTACTTTGTTGCAATACTTATTCATGGATGCCTGAACTCTTTGCACTTGCCTGTTTTCTCTTCTTTTGTTAATATCTTCTGGATTGGTTTGTTTGCTGTTCTTTTCTCACCTGGCTGGACTGTTTTGGGGCTCTTCTGATACCATGCGCCAGGAAGCTCATTATTAGGATAACCTCATAATTTTGTAAGATCTTATAAGCTTGCTACTCCGACTCATCACTGCTGTCTGCCTCTCTGATTGGAGGGTGAGGTCATGAACTCCAAACCTCCATTTGAGGAGAGAGCTCAGCTCAGACAATTAGCTATTCAGTTTTCAAATGGCTGCACTACTTTGGGGTTTCTCTGACTGACTTTTCTACCATGCACTTGTGTTCAGCTTTCTTTTGTGTTTTGTCTTCCTCCCATTAGATTGTAAGCTCCTTTTTTTGTATTTGCATTTGCACTTACCACATGGTGTCTGGCACATAGCAGGTGTTTAATAAATATTTTTTGACTGGTTGCTTATGCTGGAGATCTTTAATTGAGGTTTTTTCTTCTTGAGATTTTTCATAATTTCAGTCTTTTTTTTCTTTGCTTCCTCCTATTATTCACTTTCTAAGGCCGCTTTGATAGCAATTTCCCTGCGGTCTGGATCTCAAAGCTGTCTCAACCTCCTTTCCTCCTCCCCAATTCCAGGTTCACTAGCCTAGATTTCTGCCCCAAGTGACCTCTGTGGGGATAGGACTGGCCTCAACTGGATGCTGGGCTCTGAGCTTTGGTCTATCACGATAGAGTGCTGCACAACTCTGCACATGCATATACTGCCTTATTTGCCCTCTGTTCCGCAGTTTTATGACTGACCACATTTGCAGCACATAGAACTACTCCTTGCCACTGCTGTGCTCCCTGCTGCTGTTGCAGACTGAGCAAATTTCTGCCATTTTGGATTTCCTTGCTTCCTTGTGGAGGAGGGAGAAGGGGACTTGGGGTGCAGAGTTAAGTTCAGTTTGCAAATGTGGGTTGGTTTGTGTATCTCTACTGCGTGGAGGCTGGTGGGGGAGGTGGGGCGTTGAGTGAGTATATTAGATAGCATACCTATTCTGCTGTTATTTCATCAAGTTTTTACCTTGTTTTTGTTCTTGATTTCCTAGACTAGGGAGACAGTGGAAATTGTTTTATAATTCCTATTTTGAAGAAGTTTGTGAGTTTGTAAAGATTGGAGAAAACATCTAAATCCTCCAACTTGTTGGTCAGGTGACCTGGATGTCTAATATACTTTTACCTCTTGCCTAAGCATTAGTTTTTGTGCCAGTGATTATTGTCCCATTGCTCCTGCCCATATAGCAACTTGACTTTAAGTCACAAAGCTGTGTAACCTTTAAAAAAGTTAAGTGATACTATACCTTTTCCAACTTTTTCCTGCAAATGAATTATAGTCCAACAAGCAATGCCCATTTTCCTACAGAATTTTACTGAAGAGGCAAATGAGGGTTGTTCTGAGGCACAAGGAACTGTGAACCCAACTTCTCAGTGTCTTTGTTAACTCTAGGTGATATATCATTCAGTCACTTTGCTATCATTTATCATGTGTTCAGAAACTTTCAAGTACTGGTTTAATAGGTCCTCAGCATCTAAGGATAGAGAGGCAATGGAAGAATCATTGGGTTTGTAGTCATAGCACCTAGTTATAAGTCCCCACTTTGTTACTTATTACCTTCGTACTTTGAGCAAGTCATTTTACCTCTCGGTTTTGTCATTTGTGAAATGAGAGGATTGACATAGATGATCTTTAAGGTCCATTTCAGCTCAAGATCTATGAACCTATTATTCTAGTCAACTTGGTAGCCCAGTAAATAGTACTGGGCCTACAGTCAGAAAGCCCTGAGTTCAAATTTGATGTGAGACATTTACTACCTGTGTGACCCTGGGCAAGTCACTTCACCTCGGTCTGCCAGATTTCTCAATTATAAAATAGGGATAATAATAGACCTACTTCCCAAGATTGTTGGAAGGATTATGTGAGATAATATTTGTAAAGTGCCTAGCTCATCATAGGCTCTTAACAAATGTTTTTTCCTTCCTTCCTCTTTCCCCATTCCTTCCTTCTCTTTCTCCCTCCCTCTTTCCTTCCTTCTCTTTCTTCCTTTCCCTTCCTTCCCTTTCCTTCCTTCCCTTCCTTTCCACTGTAAATCTATGATCCTGTGAATTGGGCAATCATAGATACAGGCTGCATTGTGTTTCATATGACCTAGCTTTTGTTATCATTATAAACCTCAAAGCTAGAAAATATTTTTTAAATTCAGAGTGCCATTTGCAATGAAAGTTATTTCTAAATGATTCCAAGTTCCTCAGCTCTGTGTTTTACTTGGCCAGAAGTCTAAATTTTAATCAGACCAGATAGGATATTGCCATATGTCAGATCTCCTCCATCCCCTTCATCTTTATCTTTCCCCACAATTAAATATGCCTTAAGTGGACACAGGGAAAAGTGATATGAAGTTTTGATGGGAGGAGAGGTGTAGCTGTGAGGAACAGGAAGAAACAAGCAGACAGTCCAGGCTTGCCTTGTAGTCATTACTAGGGAGGTATCCCCTAAGCTGGAACTAGGAACTGTGAGACAGACTTTTTTTGCCTGACATGTCACCCACTTTTTTTTGGTAGGGTTTTTTTTTTTGCCACGATTGTAACAGAGAAATTGTTAATGTCAATCTGGATATAAGTGGTAAAGCAGTTTTTACTAAGTCCCTTTTTGGCATTATTTGAAACACACACACTCCAGTCAATCATGGTAAAAAGTGCTCACTAACAGATGTGGCAATTAAGCTGAAGAATTCTGTCTCTATCTTTTAATTTTTATTACACAGAATAAAAGAGCATATTAAATCATTCCAATTTCTGAATTTGACATACAAATGTTTATTAACTTACATATCTGGAAGGGGTTCTTTATCAGATTCTTCAATTAAACCCTCATTGACACAAGATAAGCACAAGTTTATCAATCTGGTCTTTCACCATGGACTTTCACCAGGCACTACATGTATTTGCCATCACAGTTTGCCATGAGTTCATTTCTCTGGGGTGGCCTGTCTTCTCAGTAAGGGGATTAGGCTCCCCAGCAGTTCATTTTACACCCACCTTGTATTCCTTAGGAATAAATCCACCTTTGGTTCTAGGCTAGGGTGACCTTCCCTCCCTCCACTAGAGGGAAAAGTATAGTATTTAACATATAATGTAGATCAGGGATAAAATAGGTAGTTTCATTTTCACACAGAAAAAAAAAAGGAATGCCAGTAATAAAGAATCATAGATTAGAACAGAATATATTAATTTATCAGAAGATCATATAGAGAGTTAGAAAGGCTATTGGAAGTCATTGAGTACATTTCCCTCATTTTTTTTAGGAAACTGAAGCTGAAAGGGGTCTCGTAACTTGTCCAGGGTCACACAGCTAATAAGTGTTTGAGGCAAGATTTGAACTCAGGTCTTTTTGATCTGAAGTTCAGTACTATACCAACTGTGACATCTAGCTGCCTCATGAGTGTCACTGCTAGTAGAATCCATTGAAAACAAAAGCCTCAGACTTTCACTGGGGCATTTGTAAATAATTTCTTTGCAAGGGCTGCTAATTAACTGTTTTACATTTTACCTCTACTCAACATAATCTGATTAATGCCAAGTGGATTCTTTCTTTCCAGAGGTCTGTCTGTGAGACACTTTCCCCTTTCATCTACCTGCTTCTTGCTACTATTACCACTGCAACTGTCACAGTAACTGATAACCAGCTGCTAGGGTGCCTGGGGAGGAGAAGACAACAGCTGCCTTTTCATAAGGCCCAGTACCAGAGGAAATATGATAGAAACAGGAGGTAACCCCTCTTCCCAGGCATAGGTTTGTCTAGAAGGCCATGAGCTCATGCCTTGCAGTCTGATCGGGTGACCTGACCCTCCAGATAGCTGAGTCATTCTTGTTTTGAAGCTCTGAAGTTCTCAGGACAAGGAAACCTGAGGGGTGGTGATCTCCCGTTTAGTGTATCCACAGAGTTCTGGCTTAGCAGTGAATTAAAATCTCATTTGGACATCATACAGTAGTTATCATGGCTCACAAAAAGCAGTCAGAGGATATCTGTACATGCAGGGGGAGGGGGAGGACCCCTCTATTACACATGCCTGGAAGCAAGTCCATCCCAAGCGTTTATGCTATTGACTGGAAAGATTGGAGGACAGATGGGTCATTCCATGAGGCTGTACACTGATAAGGGCTGTTATGGTTTCTTAGGGCTATCCTTTGCTCTCTAATATCAAAGGAAAAAGCAAATTTCTGGTATATAGGTACTATAAGTATCCGACAGATAAATAAATAATTTAAAGGTTTTAAGTTTTTGTATTCATGTGAATAAAAAATGTTATCTAGATTCTTTAAGCTTCAAATACACTTCTGTAGAAAAAAATAACGTCGGTGTTCACCCTCAGAAAGGTTTCAGATAACCCAAAGCCTTAGCAAATTACCTACCATACTTTAATTTAATTTAATTAATTTAAAGGGTTGCATTTTTGTGTAATCTATCTTGGGGCATAAGGACTGACTTTGACTCCCAAGAAGTAAGAACAGATCTGAGTGCCTGGCAGGCTGGAACAAGGGACCTGGAGCCCTGCGAGAGTCTGTCAGTAGATTTGTGTTGTGATGTGGTGGGAGAACGAGCAACAGTGTTATTGCTGTTGGTATGGCAACAGAGTTACCCAGGTTCAAAATGTCTAATTCATTTTTGATTCAACTCATTCTTCCCTACTTCTGCATCTCAGTCACTCATAGATCACAGGGTCTCAGGTTGGAAGGGATTTCAGATGCAATCCAATACAACCCAGCCCTAAATAAGGATTTCCTGTACAATAAAGCCAGCAAATAGTTATCCACACTTTGCCTGAAGACCTCCAGGGAGGGGAAACCTGAGACCATTCATTCTGCTCTGGCCTCTATCAAATATCCCTCAATGTTAAGATGTTTTCGC